AAGGCACTGCGCTGCAGGTCGCAGTCCACTTCTGTGGGCGTGGGTTCGAATCCCACTTCTGACAATGAAATTTTATTCACATACTTTTCTTAGGTTCAAAACTAAATGTAAGTGGGAAACTACTTCACTTGTTAGGATGGCCGATCGATCTAAGGCGCCGCGTTTTTATCACATTCCACTTCTGTGGGCGTGGGTTCGAATCCCACTCTGACAATAAAAATTTTATTCACATACTTTTTCTTAGTTCCAAAACGCCAAATGTAAGGAAAACACTTTCCGCACTTGTTAGGGATGGCCGATCGGTCTAAGGCGCCGCGTTTCTTTATCACATTCCACTTCTGTGGGCGTGGGTTCAAATCCCACTTCTGATAATGTAATTTTATTCAGTCATTATTTTTTAGTTTTCATAAACTAAATGTAAGGCAAAGATATTTCATAGGTTAAGATTCTAGAGCGGTCTAAAGCGCTGCGTTTAGGTCGCAGTAAAATTCTGCAGGCGTGGTTTCGGATTCCACGTTTGGCAATTATAATTTAATTTCATTCATTCAGTTTATCATTAATTAAATGAAGGAAACACTTTCTCTACGTGTCAAGATGGCCGAGCGATTCAGGCGCGGCGTTCGGTCTGAAGTCCACTTCTGTGGGCATGGGTTCGAATCCACTTCTGACAATACGCGTTTATTCGATGTTTTTTAGTTCTGCATCGCTTAAATGTGAAGGCTCTCGCACGTGTTAAGTTGGCCGAGCGGTCTAAGGCGCGCTACAATCGGTGCAGTACACTTGCGTGTTCGCAGGTCAAACTCCCACTTCGAGCAGTTATATTTTAGTTGAGTTATTTTTTTTGTTCCTCATAAAGTAAATTAAAGGTTACGTTTTCTCAAATTTTTGATGGCCAGCGGTCAAGGCGCTGCGTTCATGTCGAAGTCCACTCCTGGTTTTGGTGTGGGTTCGAATCCCAATTTTGATAATAATTTTATTCAGTCGTTATTTTTAGTTTTCATAAACTAAATGGGCAAGGCAAAGATCTTTCATAGGTTAAGATTACTGGAGTCTAAAGCGCTGCGTTTAGGTTGCAGTAAAAATCTGCAGGCGTGGTTTCGGATTCCACGTTTGACAATTATAATTCATTCATTCATTTTTTTAGTTCTCATTAATTAAATGAAACACTCTCCCACGCGTGTCAGGATGGCCGGGGATCTCAGGCGCTGCGTTCAGTTCAGTACACTTGTGTGGGCGTGGGTTCGAATCCACTTCTGACAATGTATTTCTATGCAGTCATTTTTTGAGGTTAAAGAACTAAATGCAAGGGAAAGCTATTTAGCGTGTCAGGAGGAACGAGCGGTTTTAAGGCGCTGCAATCAGGTCGTACTCCCACTTGTGTGTTCGTGGGTTCGAATCCCGCTTCGGACAATGTATTATTTCAGTCATTTTTGAGTTTAAAAAAAACTACATGATAGGGAAAGCTATTCTGCGTGTCAGGATCGCCGAGCGGTCTAAGGCGCTGCGTTCAGGTGTCCACTTCTTGGGCGTGGGTTCGAATCCACTTCTGACAATAAAAATTTTATTCAGTCATTTTTTTTAGTTCTCATAACTTAAATGTAAGGAAACGATCTCAATGTCAGGATGGCCGAGCGGTCTATAAAGGCGCTGCAATCAGGTCGCAGTACACTTTGCGTGTTCGGGTGTCCAACTCCCACGTCGAGAGCAATTATATTTAGTTGAGTTATTTTTTTAGTTCTCATAAAGTAAATTAAAGGAAACGTGTTTTCTCATTTACGAATGGCCAAGCGGTCAAAGGCGCTGCGTTCATGTGAAGTCCACTGGTTTTGGCGTGGGTTCGAATCCTGATAATGTAATTTTATTCAGTCATTATTTTTTTAGTTTTCATAAACTAAATGTAAGGCAAAGATCTTTCAAAGGTTAAGATTCCTGAGCGGTTTAAAGCGCTGCGTTCAGGTCGCAGAAAAATTCTGTAGGCGTGGTTTTGGATTCCACGTTTGACAACTAAATTTCTTTCATTCATTTTTTTAAGTTGTCATTAATTAAATGAAAGGAAACACTCTCCCTCGTGTCAGGATGGCCGAGCGGTCTAAGGCGCTGCGTTCAGGTCGCTGTCCACTTCTGTGGGTGTGGGTTCGAATCTCACTTCTGACAATGTATTTCTTTCAGTCATTTTTGAGGTTAAAAAACTTTATGCAAGGGAAAGCTATTTTGCGTGTTAGGATGGCGGAGAGGTCTAAGGCGCTGCGTTCAGGTAGCAGTCCACTTCTGTGGGTGTGGGTTCGAATCCCACTTCTGACAATGTATTTCTATTCAGTCATTTTTTGAGGTTAAAAGAACTAAATGCAAAGGGAAAGCTATTTTGCTTGTTAGGATGGACGAGCGGTCTAAGGCGCTGCGTTCAGGTCGCAGTCCACTTCTGTGGGCGTGGGTTCGAATCCCACTTCTGACAATAAAATTTTATTCACATACTTTTTCTTAGGTTCCAAAAACTAAATGTAAGGGAAAACTCTTTCACATGTCAGGATGGCCGATCGGTCTAAGGCGCTGCGTTTTGATCATATTCCACTTCTGTGGGCGTGGGTTCGAATCCCACTTCTGACAATAAAATTTTATTCAGTCATTTTTTTAGTTCTCATAGCTTAAATGTAAGGGAAACGCTCTCGCACGTGTCAGGATGGCCGAGTGGTCTAAGGCGCTTTAATCAGGTCGCCGTACACTTGCGTGTTCGGGGGTCCCAACTCCCACGTCGAGCAATTATATTTAGTTGAGTTATTTTTTAGTTCTCATAAAGTAAATTAAAGGGAACGTTTTCTCGAATATTCAGGATGGCCAAGCGGTCAAAGGCGCTGCGTTCATGTCGAAGTCCACTCGGTTTTGGCGTGGGTTCGAATCCCAATTCTGATAATGTAATTTTATTCAGTCATTATTTTTTAGTTCTCATAAACTAAATGTAAGGGAAAAGATCTTTCACAGGTTAAGCTTCCTGAGCGGTCTAAAGCGCTGCGTTTAAGTCGCAGTAAAATTCTGCAGGCGTGGTTTCGGATTCCACGTTTGACAATTATATTTCATTCATTCATTTTTTAAGTTCTCATTAATTAAATGAAAGGAAACACTCTCCACGTGTCAGGATGGCCGAGCGGTCTAAGGCGCTGCGTTCAGGTCGCAGTCCACTTGTGTGGGCGTGGGTTCGAATCCACATCTGACAATGTATTTCTTTCAGTCATTTTTTGAGGTTAAAAAACTTTATGCAAGGGAAAGCTATTTTGCGTGTCAGGATGGTCGAGTGGTGGTCTAAGGCGAATCCTGCGTTCATTTTTTGAGGTCGAGAAAGCTATTTTCCACTTCTGTCGAAGGCGTGGGTTCGAATCCACTTCTGACAATGTATTTCTATTCAGTCAATTTTTGAGGTTAAAAAACTTTATGCAAGGGAAAGCTATTTTGCGTGTCAGGATGGTCGAGTGGTCTAAGGCGCTGCGTTCAGGTCGCAGTCCACTTCTGTGGGCGTGGGTTCGAATCCCACTTCTGACAATAAAATTTTATTCACATACTTATCTTAGGTTCCAAAAACTAAATGTAAGGGAAAACACTTTCACTTGTTAGGATGGCCGATCGGTCTAAGGCGCCGCGTTTTTATCACATTCCACTTCTGTGGGCGTGGGTTCGAATCCCACTTCTGATAATGTAATTTTATTCAGTCATTATTTTTTTAGTTTTTCATAAACTAAATGTAACAAAGATCTTTCATAGGTTAAGATTTCAGAGCGGTCTTGCGTATTCGCAGTAAAATTCTGCAGGCGTGGTTTCGGATTCCACGTTTTTATAATTCATTCATTCATTTTTTTAGTTCTCATTAATTAAATGAAAGGAAACACACTCTCTCACGTGTCAGGATGGCCGAGCGGTCTAAGGCGCTTTAATCAGGTCGCAGTACACTTGCGTGTTCGGGGGTCCAACTCCCACGTCGAGCAATTATATTTAGTTGAGTTATTTTTTTTAGTTCTCATAAAGTAAATTAAAGGGAACGTTTTCTCGAATTTCAGGATGGCCAAGCGGTCAAAGACGCTGCGTTCATGTCGAAGTCCACTCGGTTTTGGCGTGGGTTCGAATCCCAATTCTGATAATGTAATTTTATTCAGTCATTATTTTTTTAGTTCTCATAAACTAAATGTAAGGGAAAGATCTTTCACAGGTTAAGCTTCCTGAGCGGTCTAAAGCGCTGCGTTTAAGTCGCAGTAAAATTCTGCAGGCGTGGTTTCGGATTCCACGTTTGACAATTATATTTCATTCATTCATTTTTTAAGTTCTCATTAATTAAATGAAAGGAAACACTCTCCCACGTGTCAGGATGGCCGAGCGGTCTAAGGCGCTGCGTTCAGGTCGCAGTCCACTTGTGTGGGCGTGGGTTCGAATCCCACATCTGACAATGTATTTCTTTCAGTCATTTTTTGAGGTTAAAAACTTTATGCAAGGGAAAGCTATTTTGCGTGTCAGGATGGTCGAGTGGTCTAAGGCGCTGCGTTCAGGTCGAAGTCCACTTCTGTGGGCGTGGGTTCGAATCCCACATCTGACAATGTATTTCTTTCAGTCATTTTTTGAGGTTAAAAAACTATATGCAAGAGAAAGCTATTTTGCGTGTCAGGATAACCGTTCAGGTCGAAGTCCACTTCTGTGGGCGTGGGTTCGAATCCCACTTCTGACAATGTATTTCTATTCAGTCAATTTTTGAGGTTAAAAAACTTTATGCAAGGGAAAGCTATTTTGCGTGTCAGGATGGTCGAGTGGTCTAAGGCACTGCGTACAGGTCGCAGTCCACTTCTGTGGGCGTGGGTTCGAATCCCACTTCTGACAATAAAATTTTATTCACATACTTATCTTAGGTTCCAAAAACTAAATGTAAGGGAAAACACTTTCACTTGTTAGGATGGCCGATCGGTCTAAGGCGCCGCGTTTTTATCACATTCCACTTCTGTGGGCGTGGGTTCGAATCCCACTTCTGATAATGTAATTTTATTCAGTCATTATTTTTTTAGTTTTCATAAACTAAATGTAAGGCAAAGATCTTTCATAGGTTAAGATTTCAGAGCGGTCTAAAGCGCTGCGTTTAGGTCGCAGTAAAATTCTGCAGGCGTGGTTTCGGATTCCACGTTTGGCAATTATAATTCATTCATTCATTTTTTTAGTTCTCATTAATTAAATGAAAGGAAACACACTCTCACGTGTCAGGATGGCCGAGCGGTCTAAGGCGCTGCGTTCAGGTCGCAGTTCACTTGCGTGGGCGTTGGTTCAAATCCCACTTCTGACAATGTATATCTTTCAGTCATTTTTTGTGGTTGAAAAACTTTATGCAAGGGAAAGCTATTTTGCGTGTCAGGATGGCCGAGCGGTCTAAGGCGCTGCGTTCAGGTCGCAGTCCACTTCTGTGGGCGTGGGTTCGAATCCCCACTTCTGACAATAAAATTTTATTCACATACTTTTCTTAGGTTCCAAAAACTAAATGTAAGGGAAAACTCTTTCACATGTCAGGATGGCCGATCGGACTAAGGTGCTGCGTTTTGATCATATTCCACTTCTGTGGGCGTGGGTTCGAATCCCACTTCTGACAATACAATTTTATTCAGTCATTTTTTTAGTTCTCATAACTTAAATGTAAGGAAATGCTCTCGCACGTGTCAGGATGGCCGAGCGATGGCGCTGCAATCAGGTCGCCGTACACTTGCGTGTTTGTGGGTCCAAATCCCACGTCGAGCAATTATATTTAGTTGAGTTATTTTTTTTAGTTCTCATAAAGTAAATTAAAGGAAACGTTTTCTCAAAATTCAGGATGGCCAAGCGGTCAAAGGCGCTGGTTCATGTCGAATCCCACGGTTTTCTGAATCCCACTTCTGATAACAATTTTATTCAGTCATTTTTTTTAGTTCTCATAAACTAAATGTAAGGAAAAGATCTGTTACAAGTTAAGATTTCTGAGCGGTCTAAAGCGCTGGGTTTAAGTCGCAGTAAAATTCTGCAGGCGTGGTTTCGGATTCCACTTTTGACAATTATATTTCATTCATTCATTTTTTTAAGTTCTCATTAAATAAATGAAAGGAAACACTCTCCCACGTGTCAGGATGGCCGAGCGGTCTAAGGCGCTGCGTTCAGGTCGCAGTCCACTTGTGTGGGCGTGGGTTCGAATCCCACTTCTGACAATGTATTTCTTTCAGTCATTTTTTGAGGTTAAAAACTATATGCAAGAGAAAGCTATTTTGCGTGTCAGGATTGCCGAGTGGTCTAAGGCGCTGCGTTCAGGTCGAAGTCCACTTCTGTGGGCGTGGGTTCGAATCCCACTTCTGACAATGTATTTCTATTCAGTCAATTTTTGAGGTTAAAAAACTTTATGCAAGGGAAAGCTGTTTTGCGTGTCAGGATGGTCGAGCGGTCTAAATCGCTGCGTTCAGGTCGCAGTCCACTTCTGTGGGCGTGGGTTCGAATCCCACTTCTGACAATAAAATTTATTCACATACTTTTCTTAGGTTCCAAAAACTAAATGTAAAGGGAAACCTCTTTCACTTGTCAGGATGGCCGATCGGTCTAAGGCGCTGCGTTTTGATCATATTCCACTTCTGTGGGCGTGGGTTCAAATCCCACTTCTGATAATGTAATTTTATTCAATCATTATTTTTTTAGTTTTCATAAACTAAATGTAAGGCAAAGATCTTTCATAGGTTAAGATTTCAGAACGGTCTAAAGCGCTGCGTTTAGGTCGCAGTAAAATTTGCAGGCGTGGTTTCGATTCCACGTTTGGCAATTATAATTCATTCATTCATTTTTAGTTCTCATTAATTAAATGAGGAAACACTCTCCCACGTCAAGATGGCCGAGCGGTCTAAGGCGCAGCGTTCAGGTCGCAGTCCACTTCTGTGGGAATGGGTTCGAATCCCACTTCTGACAATAAAAATTTATTCAGTCGTTTTTTAGTTCTCATAACTTAAATGGGGAAACGCTCTCGCACGTGTCAGGATGGCCGAGCGGTCTAAGGCGCTGCAATCAGGTCGCAGTACACTTGCGTGTTCGCGGGTCAACTCCCACTTCGAGCAGTTATATTTAGTTGAGTTATTTTTTTAGTTCTCATAAAGTAAATTAAAGGTTACGTTTTTCAAATTTTTTGGATGGCCAAGCGGTCAAAGGCGCTGCGTTCATGTCGAAGTCCACTCGGTTTTGGCGTGGGTTCGAATCCCACTTCTGATAATGTAATTTTATTCAGTCATTATTTTTTTAGTTCTCATAAACTAAATGTAAGGAAAAGATCTTTCACAAAGTTAAGATTTCTGAGCGGTCTAAAGCGCTGCGTTTAAGTCGCAGTAAAATTCTGCAGGCGTGGTTTCGGATTCCACTTTTGACAATTATATTTCATTCATTCATTTTTTTAAGTTCTCATTAAATAAATGAAAGGAAACACTCTCCCACGTGTCAGGATGGCCGAGCGGTCAAGGCGCTGCGTTCAGGTCGCAGTCCAATTGTGTGGGCGTGGGTTCGAATCCCACTTCTGACAATGTATTTCTTTCAGTCATTTTTGAGGTTAAAAAACAAATGCAAGAGAAAGCTATTTTGCGTGTCAGGATTGCCGAGTGGTCTAAGGCGCTGCGTTCAGGTCGAAGTCCACTTCTGTGGGCGTGGGTTCGAATCCCACTTCTGACAATGTATTTCTATTCAGTCAATTTTTGAGGTTAAAAACTTTATGCAAGGAAAGCTGTTTTGCGTGTCAGGATGGTCGAGTGGCTAAGGCACTCGTACAAGTCCATTTCTGTGGGCTGCGTTCTTAGGTCCAAAACTAAATGTAAGGAAAACACCACTTCTGATCGTGGGTTCTTTTTATCAATCCACCACTTCTGACAATCCCACTTCTGACAATAAAATTTTATTCACATACTTTTCTTAGGTTCCAAAACTAAATGTAAGGGAAAACACTTTCACTTGTTAGGATGGCCGATCGGTCTAAGGCGCTGCGTTTTTATCATATTCCACTTCTGTGGGCGTGGGGTTCAAATCCCACTTCTGATAATGTAATTTTATTCAGTCATTATTTTTTAGTTTTCATAAACTAAATGTAAGGCAAAGATCTTTCATAGGTTAAGATTTCAGAACGGTCTAAAGCGCTGCGTTTAGGTCGCAGTAAAATTCTGCAGGCGTGGTTTCGGATTCCACGTTTGGCAATTATAATTCATTCATTCATTTTTTTAGTTCTCATTAATTAAATGAAAGGAAACACTCTCCCCACGTGTCAAGATGGCCGAGCGGTCTAAGGCGCAGCGTTCAGGTCGCAGTCCACTTCTGTGGGAATGGGTTCGAATCCCACTTCTGACAATAAAATTTATTCAGTCATTTTTTTAGATCTCATAACTTAAATGTAAGGAAACGCTCTCGCACGTGTTAGGATGGCCGAGCGGTCTAAGGCGCTGCAATCAGGTCGCAGTACATTTGCGTGTTCGCGGGTCAAACTCCCACTTCGAGCAGTTATATTTAGTTGAGTTATTTTTTTTTGTTCTCATAAAGTAAATTAAAGGTTACGTTTTCTCAAATTTTTGATGGCCAAGCGGTCAAAGGCGCTGCGTTCATGTCGAAGTCCATTCGGTTTTGGCGTGGGTTCGAATCCCACTTCTGATAATGTAATTTTATTCAGTCGTTATTTTTTAGTTTTCATAAACTAAATGTAAGGCAAAGATCTTTCATAGGTTAAGATTACTGAGCGGTCCAAAGCGCTGCGTTCAGGTCGCAGAAAAATTCTGTAGGCGTGGTTTTGGATTCCACGTTTGACAATTAAATTTCATTCATTCATTTTTTAAGTTGTCAATAATTAAATGAAAGGAAACACTCTCCCTCGTGTCAGGATGGCCGAGCGGATCTCAGGCGCTGCGTTCAGGTCGCAGTCCACTTGTGTGGGCGTGGGTTCGAATCCCACTTCTGACAATGTTTTTCTATGCAGTCATTTTTTGAGGTTAAAGAACTAAATGCAAGGGAAAGCTGTTTTGCGTGTCAGGAGGAACGAGCGGTTTAAGGCGCTGCAATCAGGTCGTAGTCCACTTCCGTGTTCGTGGGTTCGAATCCCACTTCGGACAATGTATTTTATTCAGTCATTTTTTTAGGTTCCAAAAACTAAATGTAAGGGAAAACTCTTTCACATGTCAGGATGGCCGATCGGTCTAAGGCGCTGCGTTTGGTCATATTCCACTTCTGTGGGCGTGGGTTCGAATCCCACTTCTGACAATAAAATTTTATTCAGTCATTTTTTTTAGTTCTCATAACTTAAATGTAAGGAAACGATCTCGCAATGTCAGGATGGCCGAGTGGTCTAAAGGCGCTTTAATCAGGTCGCAGTACACTTGCGTGTTCGGGTGTCCAACTCCCACGTCGAGCAATTATATTTAGTTGAGTTATTTTTTTTAGTTCTCATAAAGTAAATTAAAGGAAACGTTTTCTCGAATTTCAGGATGGCCAAGCGGTCAAAGGCGCTGCGTTCATGTCGAAGTCCACTCGGTTTTGGCGTGGGTTCGAATCCCACTTCTGATAATGTAATTTTATTCAGTCATTATTTTTTTAGTTCTCATAAACTAAATGTAAGGCAAAGATCTTTCACAGGTTAAGCTTCCTGAGCGTTCTAAAGCGCTGCGTTTAAGTCGCAGAAAATTCTGCAGGCGTGGTTTCGGATTCCACGTTTGACAATTATATTTCATTCATTCATTTTTTAAGTTCTCATTAATTAAATGAAAGGAAACACTCTCCCACGTGTCAGGATGGCCGAGCGGTCTAAGGCGCTGCGTTCAGGTCGCAGTCCACTTTGTGGGCGTGGGTTCGAATCCCACATCTGACAATGTATTTCTTTCAGTCATTTTTTGAGGTTAAAAACTTTATGCAAGGGAAAGCTATTTTGCGTGTCAGGATGGTCGAGTGGTCTCAAGGCGCTGCGTTCAGGTAGAAGTCCACTTCTGTGGGCGTGGGTTCGAATCCCACATCTGACAATGTATTTCTTTCAGTCATTTTTTGAGGTTAAAAAACTAAATGCAAGAGAAAGCTATTTTGCGTGTCAGGATAACCGAGTGGTCTAAGGCGCTGCGTTCAGGTCGAAGTCCACTTCTGTGGGCGTGGGTTCGAATCCCACTTCTGACAATGTATTTTATTCAGTCAACTTTTTTGAGGTTAAAAACTTTAAATGCAAGGGAAAGCTATTTTGCATGTCAGGATGGTCGAGTGGTCTAAGGCACTGCGTACAGGTCGCAGTCCACTTCTGTGGGCGTGGGTTCGAATCCCACTTCTGACAATAAAATTTTATTCAGTCATTTTTTTTTTAGGTTCTCAAAACTAAATGTAAGGAAACGCTCTCGCACGTGTCAGGAAAACACTTTCACTTGTTCGGGGACGTGAGCAATTATATTTAGTTGAGTTATTTTTTAGTTCTCGAACGTTTTCGAATATAAGGATGGCCGCGTTTTTATTCATTCGAAGTCCACTCGGTTTTGGCGTGGGTTCGAATCCCAATTCTGATAATGTAATTTTATTCAGTCATTATTTTTTTAGTTTTCATAAAATAAATGTAAGGCAAAGATCTTTCATAGGTTAAGATTTCCTGAGCGGTCTAAAGCGCTGCGTTTAGGTCGCAGTAAAATTCTGCAGGCGTGGTTTCGGATTCCACGTTTGGCAATTATAATTCATTCATTCATTTTTTTAGTTCTCATTGATTAAATGAAAGGACACACTCTCTCACGTGTCAGGATCGGTCTAAGGCGCTGCGTTCAGGTCGCAGTCCACTTGTGTGAGCGGTCGAATACAGGCGCTTTAATCAGGTCGCAAGGGAAACATTTTGCGTGTCAGGATGGTCGGGGGTCCAACTCCCACGTCGAGCAATTATATTTAGTTGAGTTATTTCTTTTTTTTTTTAGTTCTCATAAAGTAATTTAAAGGGAACGTTTTCTCGAATTTCAGGATGGCCAAGCGGTCAAAGACGCTGCGTTCATGTCGAAGTCCACTCGGTTTTGGCGTGGGTTCGAATCCCAATTCTGATAATGTAATTTTATTCAGTCATTATTTTTTTAGTTCTCATAAACTAAATGTAAGGGAAAGATCTTCACAGGTTAAGCTTCTGAGCGGTCTAAAGCGCTGCGTTTAAGTCGCAGTAAAATTCTGCAGGCGTGGTTTCGGATTCCACGTTTGACAATTATATTTCATTCATTCATTTTTTAAGTTCTCATTAATTAAATGAAAGGAAACACTCTCCCACGTGTCAGGATGGCCGAGCGGTCTAAGGCGCTGCGTTCAGGTCGCAGTCCACTTGTGTGGGCGTGGGTTCGAATCCCACATCTGACAATGTATTTTTTCAGTCATTTTTTTTTGAGGTTAAAAAACTTTATGCAAGGAAAGCTATTTTGCGTGTCAGGATGGTCGAGTGGTCAATTCTGATAATGTAATTTTATTCGCATTATTTTTTGCGTTCAGGTCGAAGTCCACTTCTGTGGGCGTTGCAGTTCTGCAGGCGTCCCACATCTGACAATGTATTTCTTTCAGTCATTTTTTGAGGTTAAAAACTATATGCAAGAGAAAGCTATTTTGCGTGTCAGGATAACCGAGTAGTCTAAGGCGCTGCGTTCAGGTCGAAGTCCACTTCTGTGGGCGTGGGTTCGAATCCCACTTCTGACAATGTATTTCTATTCAGTCATTTTTGAGGTTAAAAACTTTTATGCAAGGGAAAGCTATTTTGCGTGTCAGGATGGTCGAGTGGTCTAAGGCACTGCGTACAGGTCGCAGTCCACTTCTGTGGGCGTGGGTTCGAATCCCACTTCTGACAATAAAATTTTATTCACATACTTATCTTAGGTTCCAAAACTAAATGTAAGGGAAAACACTTTCACTTGTCAGGATGGCCGATCGGTCTAAGGCGCCGCGTTTTTTATCACATTCCACTTCTCTGTGGGCGTGGGTTCGAATCCCACTTCTGATAATGTAATTTTATTCAGTCATTATTTTTAGTTTTCATAAAAAACTAAATGTAAGGCAAAGATCTTTCATTGGTTAAGATTTCAGAGCGGTCTAAGGCGCTGCGTTTAGGTCGCAGTCCACTTCTGTGCAGGCGTGGTTTCGGATTCCACGTTTGGCAATTATAATTCATTCACATTCATTTTTTAGTTCTCATTAATTAAATGAAAGGAAACACACTTTCACGTGTCAGGATGGCCGAGCGGTCTAAGGCGCTGCGTTTTTATCACATTTCACTTGCGTGGGCGTTGGTTCAAATCCCACTTCTGACAATGTATATTTTTCAGTCATTTTTTTGGTTGAAAAAACTTAAATGCAAGGAAAGCTATTTTGCGTGTCAGGATGGCCGAGCGGTTCAAGGCACTGCGTTCAGGTCGCAGTCCACTTCTGTGGGCGTGGGTTCGAATCCCACTTCTGACAATAAAATTTTATTCACATACTTTTCTTAGGTTCTCAAAAACTAAATGAAGGGAAAACTCTTTCACATGTCAGGATGGCCGATCGGACTAAGGTGCTGCGTTTTGATCATATTCCACTTCTGTGGGCGTGGGTTCGAATCCCACTTCTGACAATACAATTTTATTCAGTCATTTTTTTAGTTCTCATAACTTAAATGTAAAGGAAATGCTTTCGCACGTGTCAGGATGGCCGAGCGGTCTAAGGCGCTGCAATCAGGTCGCCGTACACTTGCGTGTTTGTGGGTCCAAATCCCACGTCGAGCAATTATATTTAGTTGAGTTATTTTTTTTAGTTCTCATAAAGTAAATTAAAGGAAACGTTTTCTCAAAATTCAGGATGGCCAAGCGGTCAAAGGCGCTGCTTTCATGTCGACGTCCACACGGTTTTGGCGTGGGTTCGAATCCCACTTCTGATAATGTAATTTTATTCAGTCGTTATTTTTTTAGTTTTCATAAACTAAATGTAAGGCAAAGATCTTTCATAGGTTAAGATTTCAGAACGGTCTAAAGCGCTGCGTTTAGGTCGTAGTAAAATTCTGCAGGCGTGGTTTCGGATTCCACGTTTGGCAATTATAATTCATTCATTCATTTTTTTAGTTCTCATTAATTAAATGAAAGGAAACACTCTCCCACGTGTCAAGATGGCCGAGCGGTCTAAGGCGCAGCGTTCAGGTCGCAGTCCACTTCTGTGGGAATGGGTTCGAATCCCACTTCTGACAATAAAAATTTATTCAGTCGTTTTTTTTAGTTCTCATAACTTAAATGTAAGGAAACGCTCTCGCACGTGTCAGGATGGCCGAGCGGTCTAAGGCGCTGCAATCAGGTCGCAGTACACTTGCGTGTTCGCGGGTCAAACTCCCACTTCGAGCAGTTATATTTAGTTGAGTTATTTTTTTTTAGTTCTCATAAAGTAAATTAAAGGTTACGTTTTCTCAAATTTTTTGGATGGCCAAGCGGTCAAAGGCGCTGCGTTCATGTCGAAGTCCATTCGGTTTTGGCGTGGGTTCGAATCCCACTTCTGATAATGTAATTTTATTCAGTCGTTATTTTTTTAGTTTTCATAAACTAAATGTAAGGCAAAGATCTTTCATAGGTTAAGATTCCTGAGCGGTCTAAAGCGCTGCGTTTAGGTCGCAGTAAAATTCTGCAGGCGTGAGTAGTAGTAGAAAAGTGGGGGTTCTGGATCACGAGGCGCTGAGGTGCTTGAGGTCCCCGCCTCCCCGAACGAGTTATCTCCGTCCCCTCCACCCCTTCCCGCGTTTCTCCCCATCCAACCCTTCCGGCGTTCCCCTCCATCCACCCCCCTTCCAACCGGTCCCTCCAATTTCGTCCTTCATCCGTGACACTTTACACCCCCCCCTTTCCCTTCTATTTTCTCTTAGCGGGATATTGCATAAACAATCAAAATAGAAAAACAAAGCATAAATAATTTTAGGCTAATAATTTTTTTCTGTAGGCTACAATACTGAAATATTGCTTTTCATTTATAGATATGATTAAAATATGGGAAGATAGATTTCGTAAATAAACCATATTGAAAAAGCGCGTTTTTTTTTCTTTGTGAATCTGATTATAATAGTGATGTCATATGACTAGTGACATCAGTAATTTTTCTACCAATCAGTTGCTTCCAAAGTTACGTCATGAAAATGAACCAATCAGCTTACTGTTGCCACCTTGTAATACTCATTTTTTCTTCTGTGTATCATTTCTTCTCAAGCTCTGAGTTGGTAGAATACTTTGCTTCTCGATAAAGAATTATCACGTTCCAACCCTACCACAAAATTTCAAGATATTTTCTTTCGTGATTAGTAAATTGAAATTTATTTAGTTAACCATGAAACATGCTACACCTCTCGCCTTCTCCCATCCTCGAGCCAAAAGAGTGTGTTTTGATAAAGACAACGGGAAAGCTTCTTCGTTTAAACCAGATGCTGTTCCTGAGAATCATTTCCATTTAGGAAGTCACAACTACGCCGTTGTTTCTGATTTTGCAGACGTTGCACGAATTCACTTGCGCCGATACAAGCTCGATGCCGCTGATCTCTTTTACCTACCAAAGATGGAATCACTGTAACACCTTCCGTATGGTTAGCCCTCGTAAGAGAATTTTCTGCAATCGATCAAGCCTTTGAGGATGGAAAAGTATTTGTTATCAAGGATTGTCTCTTACTTTCCCGAACTGTTATCGAGAATGTCACTCATATCATAATGCAACGTTATTTCCAGCGAAAGGACTTTACTCGTAAATTTTTGACTCCAGTTTCCATGCTAAAATAAACGGAATGGAATGTATTAAAAGATATCCATAAGCAGATCACGTCGAAAACTGTTTCAATCATGTTCGGGCGTGTTTTTCTGAAACTTCTGAGGCAAGAAGTGGCTAAACACATTCCTTTTCCAAAATCTGACTGCGTCGATTGTATCGACGCAGAAATGGTTCTCACTACATCAATGGTCGAACTCTTATGCAACCATATCGAAGAAAATATTTCATCATTGTTCGTATGCTTCGGATGTTTGGAAGGATACGAAAACCAACTAGGTCATGAATGTATGACATATTCAAACGGACAGAGAATTTCCGAATATGGTGATTTAGCCATATTAAACATGGACTGGGATAAACTGGTTGCAGATTTTGTCAATCGAAACATCCAAATGGTAAATTACATGAATGAGATGTTTCTCAATAAGTTGAATATGAATGTGCTGATAGAAAATGCTAAACAAATGTATGTTGCTACAGATTCTTTATTATTATTGTAAATAAAAGTATTATTTTTCTTCTTCAAAGTGTATTTCTTATTTATTTATTTTTTTTTAAGAAAAAAGTGGTAAAGTACACACACAAAGAGATAGGCACACAATTCGTACAAATGTATTATTCTCATTAAATTTAAAACCTAAGATTGTAAAAATGATAAAAAATATGCTCAAAATGTATTCATTTCTAAGGGTTTTTTCTTCAAGGCTAACATGAATTTTCATACTGATTCAAAACATTGTTTCGAGTATGCTTTTTGCTTATATGTTTCGCTTGTAAAGATGTTGAATTTAATACTCTGAAAAGTTGAAAAAAAAACTGATTGAAAATAAAATATATATATATATATATATATATATATATATATATATATAATCACCTTTTACAATTAAGAGAGAAATAAAATAAATGATTATAAAAATAGCATATTGAATAAATCAACTGTTTCAAAAAAATTGAGTTCGTGTAAAGTTTAATGAATATAATATATTTATTGACATGTGTCAGTGTTCTTTCCAAGTATGCTTAGGTAATGCCATTGAAAAATAAAATAAACCGAAGTTATTGTATTAGCTTATTTAGAAATATATTTCTTTTTCTCGGCACATCTCCCCCCTCCAACCCAAAATATTGCAAACAAATACGGAGAAATAATTTGTAATCGCTGCATTTAAAAAATGTCTACGAAAAAAAAAAGATGGGAAGTATTGGAAACTTTTTTCATCAAAACAAAGCTACAGAAAGGTAATTGATGCATTTATGGGATAGAAAGAAGTTTTACTTGTAGACATTACTAGATTCTAAGGTAAGAACAGATAAAAACTCTAAGGATTGAGGAACCAGAAAGCCGAAACCATTAAATGAACTTTTAAAAGATATTTATTTTTACCGGCACATTTAAAGGAAAAATACAAAGAGAGGCCAAATAAAATTTATAAATACTGTGTTCCCCGAATACCTTTGAAAATATAAATAAGGTAACTGAAATTTTTAAATCAAATCAAATGGGGGGAGAGGTAATCATTCCTTTTAAAAAGAGATTGTAAAGTAATATACACTTCAATGGGCTTTTTAGAAAAGAGTACTGTGGTGGGTCTAACCGTTGAAGTGTGAGAAAGTTGAAACTATCCTATTAAGTCAAAAGATGTTTTCCAATGTAACAAAAAAACCGGTGATTAGAAAAAATTCTCACGTAAAAACATTTTGAAAGAATCTTCGAGAGCAAATAAAAAGTAATTGGAACTCTCACTATGACATAGATATAAAGAATAAGAATTTTATCTCCATAGGGTAGCAATCAACCCATTCATAGGTATGTATGAAACTCGTGTGTAAGAATTTCAAGCTTGTAACAGTTGTAAGTCTAACTATTGAAGAATAAATTGGGAAATTATCCTATTAGCTTGTAAAAAAACAATTTGTCTGAGTATCTCTTTCAAAAAGCACAAACAGATGTTGCGAAAAGTCCACACAAAACATACCCTTAAAGCAGACTTTGTGTGTGTGCGAATATATCAGTACAAAATAAAAGAAACTTAACAACTGGAAAATGGAAGAATTTGGTTTACCTACAGGGAGGTAGTAAAATCGCATTCTTTAAGTGGTGGGGAAGTAATTGGAAGGACCACTTATTAGCATAGATGATGGATGTTGTATGGTTGGAAACTCCATTGCAAATGCAAGGATTTGTAAATTTTTCATACTATTTATATTGTAAATATGTTTATAATTTTACTTGCA